GCTAAACGATTTTTTAAAACTTTCTTGAAACAATACATCTCTCCTTGTCTGTTTTTCAATTCAATTCAGTTTATTTCTATAGCGCGGATTCACAACACATGTTGATAAAGCTTATAGTTAGACATATGACACTGACTGGGTATAGAGAGGCTTCAATTAGGCAGGCTGAGCAGATCTGCGCTTTTTTTTCACTTCTATGTTGCACACACAAATTAAGACAATTTCGCATATTTGACTCGGGCAAAAGTGATCAGAAATATACAAATAAATAATAAAAACACCTGCGCAGCTATAAAGCAAAACCACACTTCACCATTCTGTGTAGCATCTTAAATCATAACAGATACATATTTTTTTATAAGCCTATATTAAAAAGATAATGTAAACCACATTTTAAGAAAATGAAATGCAGCAATAAAGGCTTATCGGAGGCTTATATGCTGACTGAAGCAGTTATACTCTGAGAGAAATCTGTGAAGTTTATTTAATTTTTTTTTTTTCATGAAGAGGTGAGAATTACAAGATTAACTGCATTGTTTTTTTTGTGAGGCTCCATATTTTTTCCTTGAGCAGAGTGACAAACTATGTTTTTTTTACTGTCCCTCGTTTTTCGTGAGGTGTAAAGATTATCTTTTTTTTATCCTCCTGAATTCGTATCATGGGTAATGTATTAAAGTTTTTTTATGTTTCATTGATTGTTTTTAAACTGCTTTATATAAAAATGCAATTGACAGATTTTATTTTGTATTTTCCCCCATGTGGATGTATTTTACTTTGTAACCGCGTCTCTCTTCCTGTCAGAGTCATGAATTTGCTTCTGATCTGCTGTGTAGTCCGACTAAAATACCCCTGGAGTTTCAGTCAGAGCTCCGCAAGCCCCCTTCAGTAAATCCTGTCAGGTGTTTTCAGGACAGCAGATGACTCTGCATTTATATTAACAAAACTTGGTGAACAGGCTCTGCTACTACCGAGAGACACTGCTCACATAATGTTTTTAATTGTCAAATGTAGACCTTATTCCCTCGTAAAGGATTTCATATCTATCATCCCCACTGTTGTCTACATCCCAGGGCTGACCTGAAGAGGGGCATCAAGAAGGACAAACACGACTACACAAGGAAGGTGGAGGATCATTTCTCCATCTCTGACCTCCAAAGTATGTGGCAAGGCCTTCAGATTCCTACAGACTACAGGGCCACCAACACCTTCCCCACCTCCTCCGATGCCTCCTTCCTCAACTAGCTCAACAACTTCAATGCTCTTTTTGAGAGAGGGAGCACTACAACAGTGGCAGCCATTACCTCAGCCACTGACTCTCCTCCTCACTGATGTAGGAGTGGTTCTGAGCAGGATTAAAGCAGGCTGCAGGTCCTGATGTCATCTCTGGCCTCAGAGTGTTCTATGGGGAGCTGGCAAGAGGGCTGACGGCCATCTTCAACCAGTCCCTGGCCCGTGCTGTGGTACCGACCTGCTTCAAGTCCACCTCCACTGGCCCAATCCCTAAAAACTGTAACCCATCCATGATCATTGACTAGCATCCTGTAGCCCTCACCCCCATCATTACCAAGGTCTTTCAGCGGGTTCTAGCTCACCTCAGATCCTGTTTCCCCCCGACACTGGACCACCACCTACAAGCATACAGCCAGAGCAGGAGCACAGAGGATGCATTACCCATAGCACTGCCCTCTATCCTTTCACACTTGGACTGTAACAACACTTACGCCAGAATGCTGTTCATAGACTTTAGTTCAGCATTTAACACTGTCATCCCATCAAAACTCATTACAAAACTCACAGACCTCGGCATCAGCTCACTCATTGGCAACTGGTTGCTCAACTTCTTGACCAGTTAGCCCCAACATGCCCGGCTGGACAACCACTTCTCATCCTTCTCATCGTGTGAAAAAAATATTTATATCCTGTATAGCCTTTCTGGATAGATGCAAACTATATTTCATTGTTTTGTACTTGTGACAGTGTAATGACATTAAAGTTTAATTCTATTCTATTCCATTAATCTTTATTGACTTTCAATGAGTGCTAAACAACACAACCTCGCCCAACATGGTTTTCTGTCGGATCGTGCGTAAAATCAGATTTAGTGTGTTCAGGGCTATAGACTGCTTGATGACCCAGGGTACTGCTTTTTATCATTCTAATTCATTCCATCTTTATTCTCCAGTTCTGTAGTATTTGTTGGTGCGACCACTAACTTTGTGTTCTCTTTTCCTTTTATCATCATAGTAGCCTCATCTGGTCTGGTTCTGTTTGGCTGGGACCAACGCAGTGAGAAGTGTCAGCTATGCTGCTGCCATCAACACCTCTGGTTATACAGCAAATGACACACTTGGACCTGTTTTTCAAACCTTACCACTTTAATTAAGATCTGCAAAATCATAACAAGTTCAGCAATAATATATGGTCACAACATCAGGACACAGTGGGGCACACTGGATCTCCTTCTTTCATCTGCGGAATATTGCAAAGAATTAGAAATATCCTGTGCAGGGGTGATGCTAAGAAACTAATCTATGCATTTGTTACTTCAAGGCTGGACTATTTTAATTTTTTTACTATAAGGAAGTCCACAAACTGTAGAACTCTGGCTGCAGCATTTTGGATCAGCTGAAGGCTTTTAACTACAGCTTATGGACTTCCTGATAAAAAAAGAATTACAATAGTCCAGCCTTGTGGTGTCAAAACTTCACACATTTGTTACTTAAGTAGAAGTATAGATACTGCAGTTTAAAAACACTCTGGTAAAAGTTGAAGTATCAACTTGACCTCTTTACTCAAGTAAAAGTGAAAAAGTATGTGCTCCAAAAACTACTTAAAGTATAAAAGTATAAAGTAACCTTTAAGAAAAAGGCCATTTGCCACTATATGAATTAAAAGCTCAATTTTTCGTCTATTTCAAAAAATTCTTTGAGATAGGGCCAAGGATGAGGGAGGTCTTGTTGGTCTCCGTCTCCCGATACGCTCTCGCCTGTGTCCGACCTTTCAGACAATTCAACATCTTTTTCTGAATCCGACATTGTAGCATGGCATAGACAATTCACCTTAGCAGTTTGAAGAACACCTGCTTGCTTCTGATGATTTCCTTTAACTAACCAATGAGTGTTTGCATTCTATGACTCATCCAATTACATTAGTTTTCACTAGATGTGGATGGAGCCAATGATCTGCATTGGATGGAGCACATGACGTGAAATATATATTTAGAAACATTAAACCACGGGTAACTAATACAAAATCAGTGGGGTCCGAATAAAGAAAATCAACCAATAAATGTCAGGAGACATTTTTAATGATCTGTTACTTTAAACAGAATTCAACACTGAAATAAAATGACGTATTTATGCATTCATGTTACACTGAATAAAAAAAAAAAAAGATGAAAAAATAAAAATAGACATAGCCAAATATTGCATCCTGTTCTATCTGAGAGGAGTTGACACTTGTATGACTGTATTCCTGTATATCCATCAGTAGTTAAAAGACAAGATTCAGTAAAAGCAAATTCTGCCTGTAAAACAATGACAGCGCATTTGTCGCTGTACGATCCGAAGCCTCATTTGGAGCTTTTAAACATACTTTTGAAAAACTTTGATAATTTGCTGCTGTAATATTATAGATTTTTTAGAATAAAAAGCTAGCAGATGTGCATAATCAAAAAATAACAGAAACACAATTATAGAGCATTCAGCATTGTAAGAAAACCCAAACTGTTTCTGAATAAATACATTATTGTATGAGTTACGTTCCGTTTTTGTCTCTTTCCTTGTAAGTCTGAAATGCCCCATGCTCCTGAATGCACCATAGCTGTCTGACGCTCGCAAATGCATCACACTGGTCTGTGTAGATGCGCGTTTGATTTTCAGTTGAAGACAAAGCTTTGCAGTTTTAAAACCCACGTCGGGTAATCGCCGATGTTGCGTGTGAATAACAAGAGACTACAACAAATAAATCAGCTTTACCTCGGACAAAATCTTTGGATTTAATGTTGTTCATAACATCGCAGTCCGCTAATCTGTGACGTCTGCTTTAAACCGAAGCCAAGAGTAACGAGTGACGTTTGTTTTAAAAATGTAAGGAATAGAAAGTAAAGATACTTGTGTGAAAATGTAACGAGTAGAAGTCAAAAGTAGGAGGAAAAATAAGTAATGGAGTAAAGTATAGATACCTAAAAAGTACGAAGTATTTGTACTTCGTTACTTGACACCTGTGGTCTGCATTCAGGAGCAGAAAGTTAAGAGTCATCCGGGTTTTTATGTCTATATGGCTGTAGTCCATGTACAGGAGAAGCCATTCAAAATGGATCTCAGTAAACTTCCAGCCACTGGAGTGACCCCCCCTCTTGCATATTTTTTTACTCTCACTCCTTTAACTGAATTACAGGGTCTGACCAGAAGATGACGCTTCTCTTTAGATCTTAATGTCCACAAATCATGACAGAAAGAATATTTTAGTTCAAATATTAATGTTTAAAAAGTAATTGAAGAGGGACCAGCCAAGGACACATTGAGGAACGTTGGGACATTTTGAATTGCTACTGTAATGGTTTATACAGATATAGCTGGGTATCATCAGCATAGCAGTGGAAATTAATCCCATGCTGTCTGATAATCCTACCTATTGGGGGAATATGTAAATAATAAAGTATGTTTTCTTTACCCATGCATTGATTCCTTATTACTAAATCTCACTTTTCTGCTTTGTTTTGCAGTTTTTTCATCTTCAGCTAATGCTAACTGCTTTCAAAACTATAACGGCCATTTCTTCTAAGACTGAATCATAACCAGTTTGCATTGCTCATTTTATAATCCCAAATATATGGAGAATATCTGTCCCTTCAATCATTTTACAACAAAAACCAAACTAAGAGTTAACATTGAGCTAATCCTTGCTCTCTCCGTGAACAGGTGTAAAAATATATTACTGTCCTTTTCAGCCGGAGCAATTCAGCCTGTCCTTCAGTCAGTGGGATGACATCTATTACAATGCCAGCTGATGAGAGCCACAGAATGGCGATGCAAAGTTCTCCTAATGTCAGCTCTCCTATCTATGAAATGAAGTCAGTGATTAAAAGGAATGAAGACAAGAAGCGAGAGGCCATACTAGAGGTGACAGGCAGCCTGGAAGTGAGGGGGAGTTCTTCAAGTAGCCATTTGCTGCGGAGCCTCAAGATGATGGCCTCAATTACATGCCAGCAGCCTGTGTGCAGAGACGGCGCACAAAGACGGATCCTCCTTCTGCTTCTGTAATTAAGTGTTACCAACACATTTAGAGCTTTAAGGTGCAATCTGAGGTTTGTTTGGAAAATGCTGCCACACATTTGTGTTCCATGTATAAAAAGTACCAGGCTATTTATTTCCATATAGACAAATCCCTTCTCCACACATTCAAATCAGTGTTTTTCAAAAATGCCTCAAAATGTTAGAGCTTAAAAGGATCCACTTTAGGTAAACACGGTGAGGTTTGCCACAGTTTTTTATTTATTTCTAAGAGCTGTGTGATACACTTAAGCATGTTATAAAAGCTTTCATATCTGATCTTTGACCATCTGTCTTTCCTCTCAGACTGAACCAGTTTGGAAACTCTCTTTGAGGCGTGCATCAGAAACATCCAAGAATCATACATTTAAATAAAAAGAATGGTTAAAGGCAAATAAAATATGTAGAATTTAAATTTTATAACATAAAATCTTTCTTTGGAAAAGTAGAATAGAAATATACATTTAGAAAAAAATGTTCCTCCTACACTTTTTTTATGGAGGTTTTCTCGAGAAAAGAAGTAAATTTTCTCATTATCTAAATAGAACGAAAGCCGTTTTCTCACGATAACGAGATGATTGGTGTGTTTTAAAACTGATTACATCCTCCAATATCAGAACAGCCGGAGAGGATTTATAAGTATAAGTCATGGCAGCCTGTGTTTAATTCTGTAAATAATCCTGTGTTTAACTTTTAGGTAACGAGACGACGTTGTTGGTTTGATGATTTTTCTTAATATAAATATAAGATCTGTAAAAATAAAATGACATACCGGTATGTAGAATTACAATTTAAAATTATTCAAACTTTAATATATGCTTGGAAAAGTAAAATAGATTTATACGGTTAGTAAAACCACATTTTTTTAAAGTAGAGAAAAATAAATCAGAGAAAAAATACAGTATGTGATTTTCTCGGCAGGACGGCAGAGAAACTCTCTTTTACAACAGAAATAGAGTAAGTGTTTTAACTAAGTACAAATCTAATTAGAATTCACACAGAATGAGAAGAAAACTATGGAGGTAAATCGGTCTCAATTTTCACAAAGACACATAGGTGATTCATGCTTGTACACGATGAGATCCACACATGCACAGCACAATTTACACAAGCACAAACAAATCTACACACATAAAGGACAAGATCCACAGACATGTATGTGCACAAAATTAAAATAATGTTAATATAAGATTTGTAAAAATCAAAAATAATACATGTAGAATTACAATTTTAAAATATTAAATCTTTAAAAAGATTTCGGAAAAAGTCAAACAGAAATATACAGTTAGAAAAAAATTGGATCTGTAAAAAGAAAATAAATTATGAAGAATTACAATTTTAAAAATATTCCATCGTTTAATTTTTTTGAAAAATAAAATAAAAACGTAGAAAAAAAATAAATCTAAAAAAAAATGTGAAAGAAGTGTAATTTTCCAACCAGAAATGTGGACACCCCCCCACAAAGATGCTTATTTTCTTAACAAGATTATGTTTAGTATGTAGTGGCCGGGTTTTTCAGGTTGTGGGGAGTTAGATGAGACATACGCACTGAGAGGGACGGATGTAAAGACTGAGCCTTGTTGTGAAACAATAAAACCAACCGAACAAAACAAACATCCTTGTTCTTGAAAAGTGCAACAAAAACAGAAAAGTTACACTAAAAACCTATTTTTTTATCAAACAATTTTCAAAGTTTTTTTTTTTTTTTTTCTAAATATAAATCTATTTCAATGTGTTTTGGAATTTCTTTTTACAAAATGTAATCCTTGCTTGGAACGATAATGGAGCAAAGCTTACTCCATAGGTCTCTTCCAAACACTCTTCTCGGCGTTGTTGCCAACTCAGCGACTTTGTCGCTATATTTAGCAACTTTTCAGACCCCTCCAGCGACTCTTTTTCAAAAAAGCGACTGGCGACAAATCTAGTGACTTTTCTGGTGTCTGCCGTGGGGCGCATCCCCCCGTCCCAACCCTGTTCTCCCGCTTCCGCAGGAGTCCCTCTCAGCTCTACAGTCAGAGAGACAGCATGTTTTCTCTCAGCGTCCAGACAGCAAATGAACCGCGCGCATGCACCAGGTTTGACGGCACAGGTTGATCACTCTGGAGTCAGCTCCCTCAGTTGCTGAACCTGCCATAGAGAGCCTTGACCAACATGACCATGATCCACTCTTTCTGTGAGTAGGCAAGCACAGCCTGTGTGTGTGGAGGGAAATCTTATTAGTAAAAAAAAAAAAAAACAATAATTACCATTTCCTCACATTGTCATTGATTCTTTATAGTCTTTTTTTCCATTTAGATTGTTAATGTAATGTAAAGAAAAATGTTATGGTTCAAAATGTTCATGTTTTAGCATGATTTTTAAGGTCCTTAGTGGACCACAAGGGAAAAAAGAAAAAGTTAAATAAAAAAAAAGTTAAAAAAAATATATATATAATGCAAATTAGGCAATGACGTCATTCAGCGACTTCTAGCAACTTATAGCCCAGCCAATAGCTACTTTCCTTACTGAGGAGTTGGCAACACTCCTCCCAGCATTGTCAGCCAGTAGCTCAATCTCTCCTCCTCTCACCATAATATCTTTGACTCTCTCCCTACTTTTATTCGTCACATTCATTCCACGCCACATGCTGTTAGTTATTTTATGGCTTTAGTTATGTCAGAGTTTACATCAGTAAATGTTTGGGCCAGAGAAACGGTTCTGCTCTTTAGTTGCAGCCAGATGTCATCATGCTTGTTGTGTTTTCAAACATTTTGTGCAGTTTTTCGCTAGCACTCTAGCCTCCCTTTTTATTTTATATTTTTACTGCGTTATGATTTTGTTTGGGGAGAACAACCTGGAGATGAACAGAATGAAAACATCTTAAAGTTGATCCACATCTTAATTTTCACGTGTGGAGGGAACTATTATTACACCAGAGCACAGCCTTTCTGAATTAGTTATTCTCTTTGCCTGTAAATCGTTAGCTGTTAGTAAAGCCATCAGATTGTTATACATTAGATGTTCCCCTCCTGTTGTGTTTGCCTCACAAACAGTCCTGCTGTAGAAAAGAGATCTGATGTTGTCCGTCTCTCAGTCTTCACATTCTGCAGCAGCCTAATTATACGACTCCTGCTGAAATCTCATACGTACAATGCTAACTTACCATTTAGAGTTCTGTTCTTAAAGTCAGTTTCTATAGAGCTACGTTGGTCTCAGTTTTCACAAATAAACATATGTGATTCATTCATGCACATACATGTCTGTGGATCTTGTCCTTTATGTGTGTAGATTTGTTTGTGCTTGTGTAAATTGTGCTGTGCATGTGTGGCTCTCATCGTGTACAAGCATGAATCACCTATGTGTCTTTGTGACAATTGAGACAGATTTACCTCCATAGTTTTCTTCTCCTTCTGTGTGAATTCTAATTAGATTTGTACTTAGTTAAAACACTTACTCTATTTCTGTTGTAAAAGAGTTTCTCTGCCGTCCTGCTGAGAAAATCACATACTGTATTTGTCAACAACCAAGTAACCTGAAGTCTGGAATTTTGATTTAATTTAGACATTTTTCTGATGTGAAGGAAGTTAATTTCTACTTTCTTAAGTTACGTTTTTTTTTTCCCCAGACAGGTCAATCAAGATAAAAAATAAAAAATAAAAAATGTTGCCTTTTCGTTTGAAAGGCTGTTCTTGTTTGTTGATACTGACTCTTATTTTTTTTGGTAGGGTCCAAAAAACAGTTTTGTTGCTATTTCTAATGTCTTTCAAAAAACTTTTTATATTCAATTCAGTTTGTTTCTATAGCGCCAATTCAGAGCACATTTCATCTCAAGACACTTTCCAGTTCACCAGATCATCCAGTCAGATTGAATCAAAGTTTTCTATCTAAGGAAAACCAGCTGATTGCATCGACTCATTGACTCAGATGCAATCCCTCACACTAAGCATGCATTTCTTTTTTGTGGTACTTTGAGGTCTTTTTGATGAAAAGTGCAGTATAAATTAAATGTATTATTATTATAATTATTATTATTATTTGCCACAGTGGAGAGGAAAAACTCCCTTTTAACAGAATTAAACCTCCAGCAGAAGCAGGCTCAGTGTGAGCGGCCATCTGCTGAGGCCGACTTTCCTTGAGTTTCTTTAAAGATGCATAGCCATTATATTTGGCTTTTCTTTATGTATACACCTCTCATTCTAGTAACATATTCTTAAAGGTTACCAGGTTAAACAGGGAAGTAGGCTACTGCAGATAAGCCAGGTAGCACCTCCCAACAAAGTTTGAAAAAATTAAAAGAAGACATTACTTTTTTTTTTTTTCTTTGTTTTTTACGGCACTAGTGGCTTGTTTTTTTGACAATAGGCTGACAGGGAAGAGGGTATGAGAGAGAGGGAGAGACATGCATGAAAGGACCACAGGTTGGATTCGAACCTGTGTCAAAAAAAAAAAAAAAAAATGTAACATTGGAACTGTGACTATTCAGTAATATATTTACATCTCTTTTCTCAATTAAAATGTTTTTTTTTTTTATCAATGCTGCTTACCTTATCAAGGCTGCACTTTAAAAAATGTAAGAGTGTAGAGAGTGTGTGTACAAAATGACAAAATAAAATCTAAGTCTCTAAGTCTAAATCCATGTTGAGGACTAAGGCCTCTGTACATGGGTTGTGCGCGCCACACTGCGCCACCTACACGCCCAAGAAGAAGCCATTATCAGATGGGGAAAAAAAATAGATTCCTTCAGTGCTGAGAAAACGTATGAAAATCTATCTATCTATCTATCGATCGTTTGGATGGATGGATGGATGGATAGATAGTCACAATGTATGTTCTCACACTGTGCGGCCCCACATTCTTTTTTTTTTTTTTTTTATGGACACTGCAATGTA